TCCATCATCGCCGACCGCTTCATGGCCTCCATCGAGGTCATCACCTCCAAGGAGAAGGAGATCACCATCACCAAGGCCAACGGGGAGACCAGCATCGGCACCGTCCGCATCTGGAACGAGACGGTCTCCAACCTCACCCTGATGGCCTTGGGTTCCTCGGCCCCCGAGATCCTCCTCTCCGTCATCGAGGTCTGCGGCCACAACTTCCAAGCCGGGGAGCTGGGACCCGGCACCATCGCGGGCAGCGCCGCCTTCAACATGTTCGTGGTCATCGCCGTCTGCGTCTACGTCATCCCCAGCGGCGAGAGCCGCAGGATCAAACACTTGAGGGTCTTCTTCGTCACGGCCTCCTGGAGCATCTTCGCCTACATCTGGCTCTACCTCATCCTGGCCGTCATCTCCCCCGGGGTGGTGCAGGTTTGGGAAGCCCTCCTCACCCTCGTCTTCTTCCCCGTCTGCGTGGTCTTCGCCTGGGCCGCCGACAAGCGCCTCCTCTTCTACAAATACGTCTACAAGAGGTACCGGGCCGACCCCCGCAGCGGCATCATCATCGGCACCGAGGGCGAGCTCCCCAAGGGCATCGAGCTGGACGGCGGCTTCCCGGCCCCCGAGCGCCGCGAGGCCGAAGGCTCCGCCTCCCCCGCCCTGCCCCCCGCCCCCACGCCGGAGGAGAAGGAGCTGGACGAAAGCCGCCGGGAGGTCATCCAGATCTTGAAGGACCTGAAGCAGAAGCACCCGGAGAAGGAGCTGGAGCAGCTGGTGGACATGGCCAACTACTACGCCCTGCTCCACCAGCAGAAGAGCCGGGCCTTCTACCGCATCCAGGCCACCCGGCTGATGACCGGCGCCGGCAACATCCTCAAAAAACACGTGGCCGAGTTCTCCAAGAGGTCCTCCACCCTGCTGGAGGTGCCCTCGGACGCCGAGGAGGAGGAGGAGGCCTGCAGCCGCATCTTCTTCGAGCCGTGCCTCTACCACTGCCTGGAGAACTGTGGGTCGGTGACGCTGTCGGTGGCGTGCCAGCAGGGCGCCGAGGCCAACCACACCTTCTACGTGGACTACAAGACGGAGGACGGCTCGGCCAAGGCGGGCTCCGACTACGAGTACAGCGAGGGGACGCTGATCTTCAAGCCGGGGGAGACCCAGAAGGAGCTGAAGATCGGCATCATCGACGACGACATCTTCGAGGAGGACGAGCACTTCTTCGTCCGCCTCCTCAACCTCCGGGTGGGCGACGCCGAGGGGATGTTCGAGGCCGATTCGGCCGAGCACCCCAAGGGCCGGTTGGTGGCTCCTTTGGTGGCCACCGTCACCATCTTGGACGACGACCACGCGGGGATCTTCACCTTCCAGGAGCGGCTGGTGCACGTCAGCGAGTGCCAGGGGGCGGTGGAGGTGACGGAGGATGGCGATGGGGATGATGATGATGATGACAATGATGATGGGATGATGATGATGACAATGACGATGAAAATGATGATGGTGACAATGATGATGGTGACGATGATGATGATGGTGACGATGGTGGTGATGGTGATGATGATGATAATGACAATGATGAAGATGATGATGGTGACAATGATGGTGACAATGGTGATGACGATGGTGAGGATGGCGATGGGGATGATGATGATGATGACAATGATGATGGGATGATGATGATGACAATGACGATGAAAATGATGATGGTGACAATGATGATGGTGACGATGATGATGATGGTGACGATGGTGGTGATGGTGATGATGATGATAATGACAATGATGAAGATGATGATGGTGACAATGATGGTGACAATGGTGATGACGATGGTGAGGATGGCGATGGGGATGATGATGATGATGACAATGATGATGGGATGATGATGATGACAATGACGATGAAAATGATGATGGTGACAATGATGATGGTGACGATGATGATGATGGTGACGATGGTGGTGATGGTGATGATGATGATAATGACAATGATGAAGATGATGATGGTGACAATGATGGTGACAATGGTGATGACGATGGTGAGGATGGCGATGGGGATGATGATGATGATGACAATGATGATGGGATGATGATGATGACAATGACGATGAAAATGATGATGGTGACAATGATGATGGTGACGATGATGATGATGGTGACGATGGTGGTGATGGTGATGATGATGATAATGACAATGATGAAGATGATGATGGTGACAATGATGGTGACAATGGTGATGACGATGGTGAGGATGGCGATGGGGATGATGATGATGATGACAATGATGATGGGATGATGATGATGACAATGACGATGAAAATGATGATGGTGACAATGATGATGGTGACGATGATGATGATGGTGACGATGGTGGTGATGGTGATGATGATGATAATGACAATGATGAAGATGATGATGGTGACAATGATGGTGACAATGGTGATGACGATGGTGAGGATGGCGATGGTGATGATGATGATGATGACAATGATGATGGGATGATGATGATGACAATGACGATGAAAATGATGATGGTGACGATGGTGATGACGATGGTGATGACAACAATGATGATGGTGATGATGACAATGACAATGATGAAGATGATGGTGACAATGGTGATGACGATGGTGATGACAATGATGATGGTGACGATGGTGATGGTGATGATGATGGTGACAGTGATGATGATGACGACGATGATGGGATGATGATGATGGTGATGATGATGACAATGACAATGATGAAGATGATGGTGACAATAGTGATGACAGTGGTGATGGTGACGATGATGGTGACAGCGATGATGGTGGTGATGGTGATGATGGCAATGATGGCGATGGTGATGATGGCAATGGTGATGATGATGATGGTGAGAGTGATGATGATGATGACGCTGGTGATGATGATGCTGGTGATGACAATGATGATGGTGATGATGATGGGATGATGGTGATGACGATGAAGATGATGCTGGTGCTGGTGATGATGACAAAGATGAAGATGGTGATGGTGATGATGGCGATGATGGCAATGGTGATGATGACGGTGACAGTGATGATGATGATGATGACAATGCTGATGGTGATGACGGTGATGACGCTGGTGATGACGAGATGATGATGATGACGCTGGTGTGGGTGATGACGATGACGATGATGATGACGATGACGCTGGTGTGGGTGATGACGATGACGATGATGATGACGATGACGCTGGTGTGGGTGATGACGATGACGATGATGATGACGATGACGCTGGTGTGGGTGATGACGATGACGATGATGATGATGATGGTGACGATGATGATGGTGACGATGATGACAATGACGATGATGATGGTGATGATGACGATGATGATGACGATGACGCTGGTGTGGGTGATGACGATGACGATGATGATGATGATGACGCTGGTGTGGGTGATGATGATGACGATGATGATGACGATGATGATGACGCTGGTGCG